GCAAAAGAAGGGGATACTGTGAGTACTGATGAAAAGCAGAGGTTTTGAGACCACCATTCAGCGATTTGTAAGTGCCATTTAATTGGGAAGGGGCAAGTGGAAAAAGCAGCGAACTGGTGGCTTTTTAATACCAGCCTGAATAAACATCTGTGTGTACAGGCCCTGGGTGGGGCCTGGGAGGGATCCTGTCCCAGCATTCGCTACATAACCTCAACCTGCCTCAGGAGACTCCTCACGATGGTGGAGGGAGCAGGCCTGGCTCAGTGAACAGTGCCCTGCACCTGTACCTTCAGGTGTGGGTGCAGAGAAGAGGCAGCTGTCCAAGACATGTTCTAGGCAACACAGGACAGAAAGACAATGACAACACAGCTACTGCATGCATTTCTGAGCCACCAAATTCCACTCCGTGCTAGGATAATCAGAACAGCCACTGCAATCACCTGTAGGGCTTAATGATTTTCTGGCCATATCGCAGGGCTCCTTCCCAGTCCTGCATGTACAAGCAGACGCCCATGGCCTGGTACATCATGTGTAACATGTACACATTACTGTCCTCAAACACGGAGCTCATCTTCTCCTGGCTGAGCTCGCAGATCTCCAGCAGCTCACTAGGGGGTGCTGTGGCGTCAAGGAAAGGACCAGCAGGAATCACGCCACCCGGAGACTTCCCCAGGCAGGGCTCAAGGAGCTATTCTGTCCAGTCCACCCACACCCTCACCCCATGAAAAAGCCAACTACAGAAAGCTGCACAAAAGTGAAAGGAATTACATTTTCTCGAAGAAACAAACTAGGAAAACCTGGAGACTTCAACTGCTAAACAAAACTCAAAGATTTTAGCCACAGGGTACAGACCTTCAGTTCCGATGTAAACAATGTCGATCAGAATCATAAATTCAAATCCTCAACAAATGGCTGGAACCCTGAGCACTTCAGCTGGAGCATTTTTAAGAAACTGCCCAACCATGGCAAAGTCCTTTCTTATGTTGAGAAACAACGTGCCTTTCTCTAATTCATTGGTTTTAAATTCTACCCTCTGGAGTGCAAATCTAATCTCTTTTCAACTCCCAAGAAAATGCTACAATGTAGTTAAGAACATGGATTCTGATAGTCAGCAAAGCTGGGGTAAAATTCCAGAACTGCAGTGACCCACTGTGTCCCTTAGGCAAATTACTTGCTATCTAGGAGCCTGTTTCCTCATCTGCTCCATGGGAATGGCCACGGTCCCTACTGAGATGACCTTGTGAGGAGATGGAGGAAAGTAAAATACCCAGTACACGAGGTCCTTCAAGGGACCATTCTGAACAGTCTTTCACCATGCACAGCTCCTGAGCAAACCAGTCGAATAAGGAGAAATAAGGATGAGATCATTTAACGTTGACAGGGCTGACACCACATCACGGGTGGTCAATATGTCTTCTCACATTTACCAGGAGACTTTCTTCCTTCAAAATTCAGATTCTTAAACCCATCCTTCTCCTGCTTCCTCTTCCCAACTTCCCATCACCTCTTTTTGGCAAGGAATAGAAATAAGTCCAGACCATCGTAAAGGATATATTTGTAGTGCTTGGCCCTCCGGAACTCTTCAATGACATTGCGAGCATATCTGACCATGTCACGAATGGCTTCTGCCTTTGGGGGATCATTGAGCTTCCGGATTTCCACCTTGGCCTTATCCTAAGGGAAATGTCCATAAGTGCAAGGCATTATCTCCCATGCAAGCCATACTGGTGGGAAAACCTCTCGAACAATACACACTCCCATGCAGAGGTAGAGGCTTGACCATTCTAAGGTTCCAAAATAATCAAAGGAAATCAGGCAATGGGTCCAAAAGAAACGCATACTCCATTAATTACCCTTTTATAGAAACAAAAGCTTACATATTAATTTTCTAGACAATCCTCTTTTAGGCAGGATACCTAGAATGTGTCTGCTATGGGCCGATACGCATGATCACACATCTACAAATCAAGAGACTAGGACAAGGACGGAGGGCACTGACAATTTGAGCAATGCCAGGGAAAATTCCATATATTCAGGTGAACAGTTTGGAAAGCCTGAAAATTATTCTCATGTGCTTTTTCCTCCCCTCTCTTTTGAGTAGTCATTTCTTTTCAAGAAATAGTAATTTGGCAGATTCTTCCCTTATTTGTAT